CACATTTTATGTTCAGGAAAGAGGTGGAAATCACTCGGTGCTAAATCAGGGCTATATGCTAGGTATTTAAAGGTGGTGAATATTTCCAACAAGCTTGGAACTTTTTAATGTTGAAGACTTCCACCTCTTTCCTGAATTGAAAACATGACTAGGAGGGCAGAGGTTTGAGATTAATGACAATCTTAAAAAAAAAAAACAACATTGTTAGGGCCATCTCAATTCACTGGCGGCAACATTCTATGAAGAGGAATTAAAAAAGCTCTTCCACAGATGTGACAAATGCCTCAATCTTCATGGTGATTATATTGAAAAGTAACCATGTTTGTACCTAACTTTTGGTAATAAATTCATTTTGTTATTTACATTTGTCTTTGTTTTATAGACCATTAGAGGTTGAAAAAGAAACAGCCTTTGTATTATGAGATTTTGTTATAAAAACTTTTATACTTTTATTATAAAATCGTAAATGGCTTAATTTTGAGGGTAGAGATAAATTTCATAAAAAATTGTAAATGCTAATAACAAACAAAATCATTAAGTCTGATCCCACTCAAGATATGACACATGACATATCCTCATCCTCTCAACCTTTAACCACCAAAATTTAATATCATCAATGCCCTTCACATACAAGCTATCATGCCAAGTTCATCATTACTCCACCCGAGATATTAAGCGAAATAGATGAAAAATGGAAAAACAAAATTCCATGGAATTTCCCCCCTTTCTACTTTTTTGGGTTCAGGCAATCTCAAAACATGAAGATTTGCAAAACACTTGAAAGTCAAAATTGACATGATTCCAATTCGCGTTTTTCACGAACTATAGAGGGCGCTGTATTTTTACAAAATGGCTACTCTATCTGGGTCGTTTGTTAGTCGTCAGTGTAAAATGAATTATATATTACTATCTGATGTAATGAAATATGCTACTTGTAGCAGTTCATCGAGAAATTTTATAGAAGGAGAACAAGTATTACTAGCAGGACACGTCATTTTATGTGGTATTGTCGAGAAAAACGAGCAAGATCGTGCTGTACATTTTTGTGCTCTTTGTCTGCAAACATCAGCATTGACTTCTATCCCACACAAAATTACTGGAATTTTAAAGTTTATCGACATATCATATAAAATTGACAGCGTAACTTGTTCCTGTAAAGCTGGACAATCGGGAAAATGCAAACATTGCTTGGCAGTATTACCGTATCTTAACAGGTAAGCTAGTTTTTTTCTACAACACGATACGTATTTTAGTGTAATATAAGTAGCTAATTAGTATTAAAGGTTAATTAGGTTTTTATAAGATTTAATAATGTTTATATTTATTTCTAGATTCAATATATCTTAATCTAAATTATTACAAAAGTTGCTTCTAGCCCTTGATATAATAATATCAATTAAATTAAAATATCCACAACCGTGAGGCAGATAATAGTGAGGGCTTATCAGACCAAATGATGGGCACAAACGCTCAGAGGTTAAAGTGAAAAAAATTTAATAAACACAAAAGNTTCTGTTTTTAAACACCAGAGGGCGAGCATCCGGTGAAAAACGCGAATACTTTCTCTTCCCATGTACAGTACATGTTACTGTAAAAGCCCAAAGTCTTGCAAATCTTTCAAATTACCAGTAAATTTCAGGCTTTCATTAAAAGATACTGGTAAATGTCTGGATTTACTGATTGGCTCAGGTAAAAAAGTATTCATATGTATCTGTTCTTTTGTAATATGCTTAAAAATATAATTAAGACATTAAAGTATTTGGCTTCAGAAAGACATAATTTTTAATAATGACATAAATACTTTTTCATATCATGCAGCCTATGATGATTTAAAAAATGTTTAAACCTAAAACATTTTTAAAATTTGATTTATTTATTACAATATATTTTAATTTTTATTACTCATCCTACACAACAAAATGAATTAATGATTCCAGATTGACATAATTGATATGTAAGCTAATTCAAATAATGTATCAAATTGTCTGGATTGTATTGTATAGTATTTATTATAACCAAAGCTCGACACAAGAATATTTGTGTCGGATAGTATGGCTGTACTTTTTAGCCTCTGGGGTAAAAGAAGGAATCCAGTTGCTGCTGGCCACTAGATTTGTTAACCCAGAGGCTAAACATACAGTCATACTAATTCAACACAAATACTCTTTATGTGTTGAGCTCTGGTTATAATAAATACTATACTGTACAATACAATCCAGACAATTTGATACATTGTCTGGATTAGCTTACATATCAATTATGTCAATCTGGAATCATGAATTCATTTTGTTGTGTAGGATGGGTTTTACTACAATATCTTTTTTCAATGTGTTTTGTTTCTTTTGACAAGGTTCACTTGATCTTAAATAAGGAATGATAGATACAATAGTCATATTTGCAATTCAGTTCCATAGCCATCTGAGTTCTTCCATCATGACCAATAGCAATGTGGGCTTCATATATCATGTTAAGCAGTTCTTCAAAACAAACATAGTAAAGAATTTCTTCTTTTCCAGCAGACACTGGTGCTATTAGTTTATCTTCACCCCTGATGTTGAGAACACCATACCTTTCACATGTCTGTAATGAATAGAATCTCACCTGAATGCAAAATTTCCAGCAACTAAACACCAAAATTTGGTATTCAAATGTTTTTGGCCACTCCTTTTTCAGCCTTCTTCAGGAAATGTAAAATGAAATAACTGTTCTATTTATAGAATGTAGCCACATTCTAATTTTCAAACGTTTGAAATCAGTTTGTCTGGTACAGTTTGACCCAATGAAGTATGCATCTGTCTATAATCGATAAGTGTCACCATAACTTCTAACAGCTTTTTAAAGGAGTGGCCAAAAACATTCAAATACCGAATTTAGGTGTTTCATCCAGTGCCGTAACTAGCTATTCCTGTGCCCTGTGCAAGAATTTGCATTTATGCCCCTTAATTAATTAGGTTTGGGAAAATAATAAAACAAATACAGTAAAACCTGTCTATGGCGACCACCCACAGTTCCTTCAAAAAGTGGTCTTTTAGACAGGTGGTCGTCCAATACAGGTGGTCCTGTAATAACGTATTTCCGTATGTATTTTGCGCACTTTTTAGCCATTTCTACTAAGCAAAATTCAAGGTGAGCAAAAATAAGCAAATTTTTTCAACGATAGGGCTTTATTGGTATTGTATTTTATTTTAAAGATTAATACAATACTCGCATTTTCTCGATTATAATGCACACTTTCTTTTTTCCCACTTAATTAATTCGACTCGGTTCTTTTCGTTCTCTCCTCAGTTACGTGTATTACGTCATCAATATACAAGCGCGTCCTATCTCTCCATCACTTTGCTTTTGGTTTTCGTTAGTTTAATCTTATTTTAACTTTAAAAATACTGTATTTTTTTAATATTTAATATTTTCTTAATTAATTAAGTACAATAAGAAAAATTATTAATTAATAATAAAATGATTTTATTATTTTTTCTCGTTGTACGATTTCATTACAGTCGCGGAATCGAAAAAGGAAGTAAAACTGATTTTTGCATTAATGCGTTTATTGTTTTTTGAATATTTTGCCTGCGAAAATTACTTGGATATTATTTTTCTAAAAGTATCGTGGAAATAAGATAGGTTGATACAGAAACTATTTATTGCGCATGTACTATATATGAGCTTCAAAATAAATAAATAAAAATAGATTTTATCAAACAATGAGATCAGCCGATTAATTGTATTGTGTACAATATTTTACACCCCCAAGGAAAATACTGTGGGTCTATGGTAAAATCAATTTCGTTTTCCCACAGTTAAACTTTGCCGCTAATTGCTGTTGTGATAATTTTAATACGATCTTCTAATAACAGCACATTTCTTTTGTTTTTCGGACATTTTCCAACAAACTGAAATGAATTTCCTTTGTTGCTAGACTAATTTATTAATACCTGCACCTAATTTCATGGGTGGGAGAAGTGCCCGGGATGGGTTCGAATGAGCGTTTAGACTAATTTATTATATCAGGAGGGGAAATGTTGTTGAGATGGTTTCTTACAATAGTTTTAACTCGCGAAAGTGGTCGCTTATTACAGGTGTTGTATGTTGTTTCGGACCAAAAATTGATGCCCGTGGTCGCGTTACACAGGTGGTCGTTTAATACAGGTAACTTATACGAAGACTCTATGGATAAACTATTCCGTGCCAGAAATTTTTGCCCGTTTTGACAGGTGCCCGTCGAATGCAGGTGGTCGCCTAAGCAGTTTTCACTGTACATGCATTTGGGCCCCCCTTCCAAGTGGGTCCTGTGTGGGTGCACCTGTTGCACCTGCCTAGTTACGGCAATGGTTTTGTTGCTGGAAATTTTGCATTTAGGTGAGATTCTATACATATATGGTTCCAGTTTGCTTGTGCTGTTGTGGTTTTTATGTCTGTAGTGAATAGATTTTTTGCTGGCCATGTTTTTTACAACTTTCAATTCACTTAACAGAGTGTTATATTATTAATTAGTTAAGTAAGAATTGTTATCTTTCTTCTTATTCACTAATTCAGTTAAAAGTTCATAAAATCTGCTCCATATTATGTCACTCATTCTGCTGCATTAAAAGCAAGACTTACATAAACACTAAATTGTATAATAGATGACTCAATAAATAGTATAGATGAATAGATGATTCATCTATACTATTTATTTCTTGCCAAATTTATTTTCAGAAATCAAATAACAATCATTACAATAATAATTTTATTTTCTTAATTTATATTTTTAAATACAGTATATTACAAAACAACAAATACATATGAATACTTTTTCACCTGAGCCAATCGGTAAATCCAGACTTTAACCAGTATCTCTTGGTAAAAGCCCAAAATGTCATTTTATCAGGAATTTTGGACTTTTACCAGTCAATACAGGTATATGTGTGGATTTACCGATAATTTCAAAGATTTACCAGACTTTGAACTTTGCAGTAACTTATACAAAACAGCTGGTAAAGTAAAAGCAAATTATGACTTACCTGTTAAAATAATGTGTGCTTGTTTTTGTCTTTCTTTCAATTTAGCATATTGTTTCTTTAAAGCTGACAAGTCTAATGTCATTCGTTCAGCATTAACATTGCTACAAGATGGCGAAGGTAATGTATTTCCTACATTAGGTCCTACTGCACCTGGACTAATGGCAGTAAACAATGCTGCAGAAGAAGAAGGAGATGGTCCTCTGCTTGCTGTATCTGGTAGAACAGATACATAATAAACTTAATTTTAACATATTAAACTTAATTTTATGCTATTTATATGTTAATTTTAAACTATTTTAATATTTATATCTAAATATTCAATTTTCTTCAAATCTCTTATAAAAATTTTTAAAATTGTACTCAAAAAATTAAATTGTAATCACTATTGAAATTATGTTAAGATTACAGATATTAATATGATATATTGCCAAATTAAAACATCATTATTGGAAAAATTCTAAAAATTAATAGCTTGTATACAGGATGTTCCATAAGTCTGTACATTTAGAAAATTTGTAATTCATAAATTATGCCATGTATAGTACATTGGTGTGAAATATGTTAGTAGTAAGAATTGAAAATTTTAAAAATTTCTTGTCCATAGCAAGTAGTTGCTATGGACAAGAAATTATTACAAAGACACGGGTATTTTTCAAAAAGGAGCTGACAATAATATAGTGTGTCCTGTGCCATTGAATTCATCAAAATTTCATTTGTAGTCATTGTAGCATAGTACTTTTGAGTTTATTTTAACAAAATTGCACCAGTGTAAAAGAATATCATCAAATTCCATGAGCAGTTTCAGCTGGATTGGTTACATATACAGCAAACACCAATCAGGGTGTCAAGGACTAGTGATGAAATAATACAGTGAGTTAGAGCCACCTTTGTTTGGAGTCCTTGCAACTTGACTAGATATGGAAGTGCAGAACTTGGGATTCTTAAATCAAATGTTTGTGCATTCTATGCAAAAAATTGAAGATTAAGCCAGTACTTTCTATTACTTTCTCAGTGCTACTGCATCCTGGTGGTAATCATTGCAATGAATTGTTGTAGCTAAGGAAGAAAAAATTTTCATTTCTCATCTTTCTACTAACAAAATATCATACCATTGTAGGTGAGAGTCTATAAATTATGAATTTTCTAAATGTTGTACCTATTTATGGAACACCCTGTATTATATAATAAAAAATTGTTTAAAAGATAACTAATATAATTACAATTGGTATATTTGTATTAGCTTAAGTTTACTTCTCATTAAAAGTAGAGCAATCGTTATTATATCATTTAAATCAATGCAGGAGTGCATTTGTTTGAGACAAAATTTTTTTAGTCATAGTTATTGAAGGAACACAAATATTTTGATATTGATTATATATGACAATGTGGAGTTTTTTCACAGGCAATCACTGACAGAAGAGGGACTTATACTAGAGCCATTGATCTACTGAGAAAAACCATTAACTCACAAAGAAGACTTTAGGAGCTTCTAAATTTTGGTAAGATGTCTTTTTTGTATTTCAACTGTAATGGTTCTTTTACTGTTGTCTTATTTTTGTCACCATGTGTTATAGAATGAGTGAGGCAAAGATTATAACACAACAACCAAGTTTATTGTCTTCAATGCAAAAGTTATACACATGTCTGGTCTTCATGACTAACAAGTAACAATTGGTTACTCACTGGGTGTATTTGGACCTGTTCTAGGAAGTGATGACTCATACCACCTGGGGTTCATTGTTTGTTATCACAACAGTTAAAATGGGGGATGTAGTGTTTGCCCCACAATAAATGGGTTTTAATTGTAAATGGAGTTGTTGCATCAGTGCCTACTCCACACTCCATATGCCATTTACTTTGAGTGCGTTTGTTAATAGTGGTCGCTCTGCGTCTCTGCTACTATGGGAGTGCGCTGCTGTTTGTAGGCATTTAGGAATGAAGGTGAAAGAAAGAAAGATGGTGGCGCCCACACTATCGATAGTATCATGATGGAGGAATTTATAATTGTAAAATATGAGCTTTTAAAGGCAAAAGAAGAGTCCCAATTGTAAAATTTAACCATAAAATGGATTATTTGTTGAAAGAGCATTCAAAATAGCCACAAAAAAAATTAGAATGCCGGCTACCATCCGAAAAAAGTCAAAAAGACACTTACATCACTGCGTGCACTAACTTGCGCTTTCACAACTTGTAAATTTTCATTCATAAAACCACATAATGGACCCCCAAAATGAAACTATCTGAGCCATGGAGAACGCCATGTTGCTTTCCACTGCAAACTACTGCTACAAGCGGCCGTTTTTGCCGTTCAATGGCGCGCACTCCGATCGGAATTTAGGAACGCGTTCCGCAGGAATTTTAAAACAGATGTCGCTCGCGCGGAGGAATAAAAGAATGCACCCTTCTCTTACCAACCTGAGCAACTATTCTTTTCCATTAGAAGAGAGTGTCAACTGTATATCTGATAATATCTGATCTGTGATAAACCTCACAGGAGTTCTCACACTACTGTAACAAATCCAGATAAATCAAAACTGTTACTGTTTTTTCTTTTGCAAAGAAAAAGAGCCTCAAAATTTCTAAACATGCCAAATAAAACATTTTGAATTGCATTTTCATACATTGTAAACAGTTTTTTTGTTGTTTCTAATTGGAAAATTTTAGGATACGGGAACCCCAGCAATAATTTAGAATCACCCAACATATCCCAACATTACATTAAAGCACAGATTTCAGAAATTATTTCCCCAACAATGGTTTTACTGAAATCTGTTATTCATAACTAGCAAAATATTATACTGCAGTACATTAGTAAGAAGCACAATATAAGAAATGTTTTTATGTATTTTGTTATATTGAATAATTATTTGCATATTTTACTTTATTGTATTATTAGTCAAAATGGTTGATGATTAGCATTTATAATAACTGTGACTTAGTAATTAAATTTTACTAGTAATTTAAATGAATAATGCAAAAACTTATCAAAATTCATATTGTTACATCTAATATATAAAGAAGAAAGTTTGTTAGATTGTTTTTTTATACATTTTGACATGATTTGAACAAATGCAATGAAACTTTTCAGGAACCATCCAGGAGGAGATCAGTAACTACTTTTAATTGAATTAACTTCAACTCCCATTTGCAACAGGTCCTTTCTGTATGACCAGTGAGATAGTGGTATTTGAATAGGAAATTTACTTAATACAAAGTTATCATAAGCATGAAATATGTTTCTAAGGGTTTTCAAGGGTGCAAAGTTTAAGTATTTGGAAATAAAGTTTTAAATAGTTACACGCCAAATATTAATAGAAAAAGATAATGTATACTACCATCTATCATTCATAGAGAACAAAACATTTGAATTCAAATATTTTGTTCTCTATGAACGTTTCTGCCTAAAGAGGACAGTTTTATACTGTTGAAAGTATTTGCAAAATAAATTATTTTTACATCCACAGTTAAATATTTGTTCCAGTTTTTGCAAAAATTGGATTGGTTGGCCAATTACCATTTCATATTTGGTTGTGAATGGTACATTAAAGTTAACATTTGAAAAAGTTTGACATCTTGAATAATTTTTTTATACAGGTAGAAGCCAATAACTACTTTCTGTTGAAAAATATCAATTCCCATCTACTTATTAATGAAATGACACCAGTCTGTATCTTCAAGTACAGGTAACCCCCATATAACACAGTAGTTACGTTCCAAAAAATTGCCGTGTTATGCGAATCAAAGAACTAGTACGAAAAGGAGGGTTAGGTTCCAAAAATTAAAAAACATGCTACTATATTTTCATAATTAAGATAAATATCTTTATTAAAATTTTCTTAAGTGATACATATTAATATAAATTAAACAATGTTTTCTTTGTCATCACTTAAAAGCACTATTAACCGAGAGCGTTTTATTTTTGGCAAGTTATCGTTATCCTCTGAGCATTTTTCTGCATTATTTTCAGATTCATGCTTTACCTTTTGCAAAAAGTGTATGTAATTTTAGATTACTTGTTTCTAGTTAAAAGATCTTTATAAATATCCTTATATGGTGCTAAGTACTTATGGAATAAGGGAAAAACATCTGGCAACACCAGAAGCAGAAGCATCGAGATATGGCAAAATTGAAACAATTTTCGCGAAGGACCATGTGTATGGAGAAGAGAAAAGATAATTTACACACTGAAGTACTAATAGTTCACGAAAATTATTATTTTCGTGAACTATTAGTACTTAAGTATGTAAAAATTTATTAGATTTCATGTTGTACGAAGGTTTTACCCATTTCTTGAACCATGTCAGAGTGGATCCGTGTTATAAAAGTACCGTGTTATACGGGGGATGGTACCAATTCTTGAACCGTGTTAGAGTGAATCCGTGCTATAGAAGTGCCATGTTATACGGGGGTTACCTATATTGCATTCTGAACAAGCACAAAACATATACTTGGGTTTACCAGATGTTGAGTGTGAATCTTTGATCCATTTATTTTGAAATATGATTGTTCATTTGTTTTTATTTTTGTTATATGAATTTAAATAAGATCAATATGTTTTTTTTTTTCTTCTTCTTTTTCAAAGTAGATTTTTGTTGTTTTATTCTGTTTTGTTACATTTTCTCTTTCTTATTATAATTTATTTAACACTTCACGATATACATGGTTAAAACAACCAAAATCTTTATGTGGTTTTCATTAAAATTTTTTTTTGTTCTTACTTTTTGCTTGGGTTGTGCTTGTCATATCTGTTAGTTATGTGGGAACCTGGACTTCACAAAAATAACACAATTTTGTCATATATATTTTGATAATTGTCAACTATTACCTGAGAAAATCTCGTTTTACATGTTCTCGATGGTGAAAGCAATGCTTTCTCACCTCCCAGCCATATGCTACCAATTTTAATATAAGAATTGACGGCCCAATGAGTCAGTGCCTATTCCTCAAGCAGATCAATAATTTGTGTGCGCCTCAGTTATTCCTGTTGGAGACTGATTTATTCTATTGCCAGATACATCGACTTTGCATTGGAAACGGATATCTTTTCTCTCCTACAGATACTCCATCCCTTTTCTCTGCAACCATATCTTCTACAGTGGATACACAGAATACAAACTATCTTTGAGAACTTTTATCTTATTAACCCAACTAGCAAACACCTGATCTCTACTCCTCTATAAGGTATTTACCCTGCAAACTCTATTATGAACTCTCTCCCACAACTGAATTATTGCATCTATGTGCCTAAAATCTCCTAAATGGCTCAGTAGTCTTATTTTACTAATCTTATGTGTAAAATTTTAAGAACAAATAAACAGGTATATGTGTTTGTATAACTTGTCTCTGAGTGCATTACTTCCATTGCGCTGTTTCATAATCCTTTATTTGGAATCCGATTGCTTAAGCATGCATGACGTAATTTCTAACAAAACCAAATCATTGTTACAGCTTTTGTGTTGAATGGGATACAGTGATGTCATCCTGACATGGTATTGAAGAGGTGCCAACCCTCTGGTCACAATTATAAATATAAACATGTTCATATTATGGAATGTAAGATCAATTATTTAACCTTACCTTTGTTTCTTGCTAAAGGAAGTGTATTTGAAACACACCATGTAGCCATTACAATATGTTCATCATCGTCATCTTCATCATCACTATAGAAAAGTTTAAATGTGCGGCGTGAAGACAAAGATGAAGTAAAAGGACGTATATTATAAGTGTATTTATCTCTAAGAGTACTTAATTGAGGAAAAGGAAATGGAGCCATTGTTGAGATTGTCTGCAAAGATATCAAAAGATGTATCAATTCTATTGTAATAATTTGATAGGCTTTTGGAAATGAATACATCTATTTTTTCAAATTTAAAGAAACATTGAAAGTAGTTACTAAAATTAAGTAGTATTTAGTAGTAGTTACTAAAATTAACACACCATAATAACTTATAGTATGCACTGCGGAGGAATGAGGATATTCCAACAAATGATCAAATCTACGAGGGCTGTTCGAAAAGTTCGCGGCCTTGCCTATATGCGGCGCTGCGATCAATTTAATTTTTGGCGGGAATAATTCAGCCATCCTTGTTAAAGATACGATACCAATTTCCGCTTGATTTGTCGTAAAGTTTTGCCACGACAGCTTAGCAGATAGTCAATGTGCACATGCTTTGTCAAAAATGGAGAAGACGGAGACTCGTGCGGTCATAAAATACCTGACGAAAAAAGGGTTGACCGCATCTCAAATCAAAGCTGACATGGATGAAGTTTTGGGAGAGTCTGCTCCTTCGTAAACCACTGTGGAAAAAATGGACAGCCCTTTTTAAATCTGGCAGAGAGAGAGTGAAACATGACCCTCGCAGCGGACGGCCGTCAACTGCTGTCACTGAAAAAAA